TATAGATCGCAGCATTGTTTTGGGTGCAGAGGAGGCCACTTCAGCCTACCACATCTACACTGACTGTCACTAAGCCAAAATACTCAATCTCCTCGCTTCTTCCCTGTAACCCTGCACATTGAAAAGGGCATCAGATTATTTAAATATAAACAATGTCTCATTTGAACTTGCTTACACCACAATTCCAGACCTTAACTACATGCTGTGCAAGAAAGCTTTCTCACTTGCATTTACTTCTTTTGCAAAATATTTTCATTCTGTGCTCTAATTCTCAGTCCTCTTATGAATTAAAACAGTGACTCCTTATCCTCTCACGATTTTGAAAACTTGTATCAAGTCCTCTCTTAGCCTTCTCCAGTTGAGAAAGAATCCCACTTCCAATCGCTCATGAGCCAAGTTTCTCATCCCTGGAACCATTCTCAAAAGTCTTCTGCACTCTATTCAATGTAAACACTTTCTTCCAATAGTGTGGCATCCAGACTGTATACAATACTCCAACCAAAGGCTGGCAAATGTCTTCTGCAAGTTCAGCAAAACCTCTCTGCCCTTGTACTCTATGCCACTATTACCAAAGCCTACAATGCTGTGCCCTTTATTAACGTCGCTCCTTACCTGTCCTGCCATCTTTAATGAATTATGCATGTAATTGCCCAGGTGCCTCTGCTCCTGCACACCTTTTAAAATTGTACCATTTATTTTATACACTCTCGTCATGTTCTTTGCACTGAAATGCATTATCTCACACTTCTCTGCATTGAACTTCATCTGCTGTCCATCTGGCCCTTCCAGCATATTGCCAATGTTGTTTTGAAATTCTACACAGTCTACCTTACAGTTACAATGCTTCCAGGTTTTCTGTCATCCACAAACTTTGAAATTGTCCCCTGCACACTATGATCTAGACCATTTGTATATATAAGAAAAAACAAGGGAGTACTAAGTGAGCGAATATTGACTCCTGGGGAACACCACTACAAACCTTCCACAGCCTGAAAAATAAGCATTATCAATTACTCTTTGTTTCTTGCTCCTCAGCCAATTTTCTACCCATATTGCTACTGTCCATTTATTCCACAAGTTGCAACTTTGTCAAGTCATTGTGTGGCACTATATCAAACACCTTCATAAAGTCCATGTACACCATATCAACAGCATTTCTGTCAACAACTCCCACTTCTACCTCTTCAAAAACCTCCAGCAAGTTAGTTCAACAAAAATTTTCCTTCAACAAATCCATGACAGCTCTCTGGAATTAACTCATTTTGCAGTGCAACTATTAATCTTATGCCAAATAATTGTTCAATAAGTTTCCCTACCTTTAATTAAGCTGACTACTCTGTAATTATGTGCATTAATGATAACCGCCCATCATCTGACCTCCATAATCACGAAGTGCTTCGAAAGGCTGGCCATGACCCACATCAACTCTAGTCTCCCAGCCTGCCTCGATCCCCTGCAATTTGCTTACTGACGTAACAGGCCCACAGCAGATGCCATTTCCCTAGCCCTGCAATCGCCCTGGAACATCTGGTCAACCAGGACACCTACGTTAGACACCTACTCATCCACTACAGCTTTGCCTTCCACACCACAATCCCCTCCACACTGATCTCAAAACTCCAAGATCGAGGTCTCAGCTCCGCCCTCTGCAACTGGATCCTCAGCTGCTTGACCCACAGACCGCAGTGAAGATAGACAACTGCACTTCCTCCATGATAAACCTCAACACTGGAGCCCCCAAGAATGCGTTCTCAGCCCCCCGCTGTACTCTCTCTACATCCATGACCGTGTTGCCAAACTGTGAACGAACGCCATCTACAAGTTTGCTGATGACACCACTGTGGTAGGACAGATATCAAACAATGATAAGTCAGAATGCAGAGAGAAGATAGAGGGCTTAGAGTCATGGTGCAATGATAACATCCTCTGAGGTGGTAGACTTGCTTGCTGAGCCGGTGTGTTTGTTTGCAGACATTTTGTCGCCCTGCTAGGTCACATCGTCAGTGCGCCTCTGGTGAAGCATTGGTGTTGTGTCCCGCTTGCTATTTGTATACCTTGGTCTGTTGGGGTAGATGGCATCACTTCCGGTTCTGTTTTCAGTGGTTCAACCCAAGCTACAAATCTTCTCAAAAAGATAACAACCTCTGTTTCAATGTCGGCAAAACTAAAGAACTGATCATTGAAATCAGAAAGAAAGAAGGAGAACATGTCCCATCTATATCAATGGAGTGGAAGTGGAGAGGGTTGAGAGTGTCAAGTTCCTAGGAGTGACGATAACCAACCACGTGTCCTGGACTTTTCATGTAGATGCGACAGTCAAGACGGCACAACAAGCAGCTTAGGAAAGTCAGCATGTCCGTAAGGACCCTCACCAACTTTTACAGATGCAGCACAGAAAGCATACTATCTGGGTGCATAATGGCCTAGGACAGCAATTGCTCTGCACAGGACCATAAGAAACTACAAAATGTTGTGCGCACAGCCCAGGCCATTACGCAAGTCAACCTTCCATCCACGGACTCCATTTACACTTCTTGTTGCCGCAGAAAGGCTGCAAACAAAGACCTCCCCCACCCTGGTAATGCTCTCGTACAACCTCTTCCATCAGGCAGAAGATGCAGAAGCTTGAAAACGGGCATCAGCAGGTTCAAGAACAGTTTCTTCCCTCTTGTTATTAGACTAATGAATGAACTCTCTAACTTCAAATAACATTGATCTTGTTAATGTTGAGCTTGCTTCATGCACGTCCTGTGTAGTGTAACCTGTATGTCTCTCTCTGTCTAAGCATCCAATGATCTGTATGCCCTTGCTTGCTATAATTTGCCTGTACTGCTTGCAAACAAAACTTTTCACTGTACTTGGGTACATGTGACTACAATAAATCAAATCAAAACAAAACAATTGTTGGGCTTATCTTTACAAACTCTTTTATATAATGTTTACAATTCTCCAGTCCGTTGGCATTACTCCAGAGTACAGAGAAGGTTGAAAGATTGTCAATGCCGCTACAATTTCCACTCTAACATTTTGTCAATACCCTTGAATGCATCTCATCCAGTCCTGGGCCTAAAAAAATTTCTGTGAAGTTACAATAGCTTATCCAATACCACCTCCTGATCAATTTAAAACCTTCTAGTGACAGAGTTTCATCATCTGTCATCAAGGCCTCATCAGCATCTACCTCCTGCCTTCATTTACTCCTCATTTTAATAGGAGACAGGAAGAACAACAGATGCTGGAAGCCAACATCAATAAATGTGGGAACTGGATAAACTCAGCAGGTCAGACAACATCAGAGGAGCAGGAAATCCGATGTTTTGGGCCAAAACCCTTCGTCTGCATTTTAATACGCTTTTTACTATACATGAACTAATAGAAGATTTTGGAATTTTCCTATAGGTTAAATACCAGTCTTTTCCTCATAATCTCCATTGGTTCTCTCATTTTATTTTCAGCTTCATGTGTAGTCAGCTGTATTAATCGAATTTTCTACATGCACTGCTCATAAACACACCTTTTCTATTGATTTCTAACACCTGTGTCATCCAGGGAGCTCTGGATTCGTTTGCCCTATCTTTCATTTTTGATGGAATATGCCTTCAATGTGCCTGATGTATCTCCTCTTTGAAGGTAGCCCATTGTCCAGCTACTTTTTTCCTGCCAACCTCTGTTTCCATTTTATCTGGCCGAGATCACTACTTGCCCCATTCAAGTCTGCTCTCTGCCAGTTGATTGTTTTTGCTCTAGTTTGGTCATTGGTGATTTCCACCATTTTCCCAAACATTAAGATACCAAGATCACTGACCTTAAATGCTCCCCAATTATACTGATTTACTTAGCCCACCTTGTTCCCAAGAACAAAGTCTAGCAGCGCCTCCTTTCTTGCTGGACTGGACAGCTATAGGAAATTCTTCTGAGCACAGTCTAAAAATGCTTGCTCCCCTTTACCACTATCAGATGAGTCTCTGGGGCATGCTGATTGATTTAACAGTGACCTCAGTAGTCATCTAATAGGTAAACTGGAGTTACAGCAGCTTCAGGCAGAGATGACTGTTTCCATATGTGCACCTATGTATACACAGGGGTACAGTTAATAAATACTGTGGAGAAATACTTGAGATCTGGCTTAAGTGAGCTTATCTGAGGAACAGATGGACCCATACTAAAAGACTCATTAGTGGAAGTTATGTACTCGCTCATGGAATATTTTATGTGAAATTATGCACACAAATTTGCACAGAAACCTGATCACTTCACTTTGGAAAACCAAGGCATTTAGATGAAATTGTTGATTTATTTAATTAGTTAACTCATTGTTTTCCTTACATTAATAACCGTTTATCTGTTCCCTTTCCAGACCATTTAGTTCCCATGTTTTCATTTCCACACCCCTACAACCAAAAATTCTTTCAACTAAAAACTTTCAACTGAACCTTCGTAGGTTCATCTCATTCCACTTGAATTTATTTTAAGATGAATAAACTTAATTTTTCCACACATTGGCAACTTGCTTCATTAACACAAAACAGGTGAGGGGTGAGAATAGTGCTACACTTTCTCTGACCCTTAAATCATCCTAAAAGGAAGTTGCTTGTTTGTTCACATCTTCAACTTATGTATGCAAGTGGATACATAAATTATTAGTTTACACACAGAAACTGCTGAGTGCATAAGTCAGCTTCTCGCCTATTAGCGAAAACTACAAATGTAAGGCACAAATTACAGTCATACAGCATGACTAACACAGGTGATTTTCCAGCAGCCATTCATTTACATATTGAATGTAGATTACAAAAAGTCACTCTTTCATTACAAATTAGATATTAAGTTTGTTCTTTCTTTGCAGTTCCCCATTACTGCCAGAATCAAAGCCCCACTGAGCATCATAGGTACTGGAAAACCAGTAACTTGGATCACTATAGTTCACACTCAATCATAAAATAAATCTAGTATCCATTAGAATTTCCAAATGATTCATATTTAAAAGAATGATCACTTACCTTGTTGGAAAATAGAGAGGGTCACAGATGTAACAAGGAGGAACAGAGCCTTTACAGGGACAAAGTGCGTTGGATCATTGGCAAATATATGTACCAGCTGAAAAACACAAGAATCCAAACAACTTTAGACAGATTAACATTTTAAAAATATGAAAAATGATGATAAAGAAAAACACAAGAACAATCATCAATCCCAAAACAAAAGAACATTGCAGTCACCACTGTGGAGAAGTAACTTTGTGCATATCAACCAGGAGCAATTAAAATTATTGCACATTCTGGAATTAGCAGAAAGTGATAGCAACCGAGATTCTCCATTTTCCAGACACGTGCACTACCCAAGTGGTGCTTGAGGTGTGGGGTTAGCATAAGAATTTACAATTTTACTAGCCTGCATTATATTCCAAAGGGAAAACTAACACAAGTAGGCTTGTGACATTTTCAAATTTTGAGAGCATTTTCCATAAAGTACTGAAACAAATAAAAAGCTGGTTTTGTATAGCAAAGTACATCAACACAGTTATACCTCCCATCTCATAAGTCACATAAATTCTGCTTCTGTGGAACACATCGGCATATATAACACCTATGGTATAGGAATACAAATACAAAATCATTGAATACATCCCATCTGAACAGTTACTGTGTACTGACAGCAACTCAAATGATTTGTATTTGGCACGATCTAACAAAGTGTGTCCTCAGTCCACCTTCAAAGAGTCCACCACTAACAAGCTCCCCTCCTAACAACTCACCATCCTGATTTGGAAATGTATTTCTATCCTTCAATGTTGCTGGCTCAAAATCCTGGAATATCCTCCTGAATGGCATTGTGAATTACCTACAGCACATGGGCTGCAGCTGTTCAAGAAGACAGCTCATCAACACCTTCTCAAGGGGAACTAATAAGGATGAACAATTAGTAGCATCCAAATCCCATGAATGAATAAAATGCTCCATTTGAGGGGAGGAAAACTAGAGGCAACAGTCTTTGGAATGGTGCTGTTAAGTATTAAAACATTATACTTACTCTTAAGTGTTCAAAGTCTAATTGCAGTATTATTACATTGTAATGTTCGGGAAATACAACCTAATCGTCTATGTCTAATGGTCTTCCTAATGATCACAATCCACCTGTAAAATTTTACAATTTATTCATTAAGACTCCTAAGTCCTTCTCGTGCTCGGTTACCTTTAAACACATTCATGCATGGGTGGAGTTTCAAAACCAATCTCCGCCACAGAGCACTTAGCACATTGAAAAAGATGCAACTTGCTCAATATGTTTCTGTACATGTACAAATGTAATTTATAGATCCACAGACTTCGATAGGGGAGAAAGGAATTATTAAAAGGAGGTTGAGAATAACGTTTAACTGATTTACTTGTTTGGATGTGACGCTTGGTAGCTTTTCCCACCCTTTACTAAACAGAAATGACTTTTGGACAGTCTAGTTAATGGGAACACCAAGTTCACCAGCAAACAATGATATTTTTGCAAATCACTTTTGCTCTTTGGAAACTTTTAAGTTGGGTTTGTGATGCAAATTATTTCTAAAGTGCACCATCTTACAAATGTAAGATTTATATCAACTAGATAAGTTTGTAAACCCACCCAATTAAGACGAGTCAGCTTCTTGATTAGACTACTTCCACCAGCAAATCATCTTTCAAGTTTTGCTCCTTCCTTTGCTGGAAATACTGCATATGCTGGGGTGTAGTTTCATGGGCACCAGCAATTGAACGCCTCTCCCAAGTAACCTTTCTTCATTGTGAATTTAGATAATGAGAGCATTACCGGTGAGTTCAAGTCTGCACTTACTTAAAACTGCATCTTTGCAATTTGAAGCAGGCCAGTGAATACTAAGTGAATGCAAAACCATGATAGACTTTTCCTCTGCCTAGCTCAAGTTAAAATCCATTCTCAAAGTGCCTGCTGCTATTACACTGCAAATCACATAAATCAGCAAGGATCAAGGATTGAAGCTGTGACTTGGTGTTGGTTTTAACCCAAATATAAATTAAGAAATAATTAAGTAGCAAGTACTTAAAATGGTGCAATAAATTTGACAATCTCTAACCCATCAGAAGTGGACTTCTGTAAATGTAAAATTTTATCAAAGCTCAATTTTAATACAAAGATTTTCCTTCCATCACAGTACAAAAGAAAGTAAAGATCATTCAGTTTGTTCAATGAAAGAACTTTATTTGAAATAACATGCATGGATTGTACCTGTCGCGTTAATTCCAATGCGGATGCCTGTGGAATAGTACTGTACATCTGACCCAACATTTCTGAAAGCTGTGGAATCATGGGCGCAAAATCATCCAAAAGAGTCTTCACAGACTTTTCAAAGATTGCACAAACAGACTAGAAAGAAAAATGAAAGAAATCTCAATTATCACAATAAAAAAAAGTTATCATGTTATTTTTAATTCACCACAGCATAGTGTAGGTCTCAAACACTCAGGCTAACAATGGCACTAGTATTTATGAAATATGACTTTAGCTTAGAGGTGAGCAATGAAGTTTTCCTAGCTTTGCCAACTAAATCACCATCCCTTCACTTTATCTAAAATGTACTGCCTCACTTTTCTTTACATAAATCTCGTCTGGTTTCTACCTATCCAAGTTACTATTCCAAGATTTTTTGTTTTAAACCGTCCTCATCATTTTAACCTTCAGTGTCAAGATTCTTATTTTTATACATGTGCAAGTTTTATTTGGATGTTCACTCCTGAAATCTATACTTTTAGATGTCAGATGTATTTAAAATACATCTCTCATTCCTTCAGTCCAAAAAAAAAATCCATTTACTACTACTCCCAATGGCAACGCCCAATAGGGCACTTACATTCAGTGCCAACAGCGTGTGACTGGATTAAAGATGACCAGCTGAGGATGTTCCATGGATCATTTTCTAATCCTCAAGATACAGACAAGGTACCGGAGAACTGGATGCCTACGAACATTGTACCATTGTTTGGAAAGGATGTGAGCAATAAGACAAATAATAATAGGCCATTCTGTCCGATTTCAGCAATGGGGAAATTATTAGAATCAATTCTGAACGTGAATAAACTGTCACTTAGAAGGCATGATTAGTCAGGGATAGTCAACATGTTCTTATTAAGGGAAGGTTGTGTTAGACTAACTTAACTGAATTTTGAGGAAATTACAAGGAGGTGATTAACGAGGGTAGTGTAATGGATATCATCCATGGATTTTAGTAAGCCAGTTGATAAAGTCCCAAGTGGCAGACCAGTCAGAAATATTATGGCTCTGGGGATACAGGGGTATGTGGCAAGTTGGATCCAAAAACTCGCTCAGCAACAGGAAACAAATGGCTGATGGATGTTTTTGCATTCCACAGCACTCAGTGTTGGGGCTTTTGCTGTCAGTTTTACTTATTAATGGTTTGGACTTAAATGTGGCAAGCATGATTAGGAATTATGCAGCCAAAACAAAAATTGGCCATGCAGTTGATGGTGAAGAGGATAGCTGCCAACTCCACAAAGATATCAGTTGGTTTAGTTGAGTGGGTGAGAGAATGTCACACAGAGGTCCATCAGGAGAATATGAGGTAATGCATTTGGAAATAGTAAACAAAGCTGGAGAATATAGAATAAATGGGAGGATATTGAGAAGGGTAGGGAGACAGAGAGAAGAGATAGAGCACCTTGGAGTACATGCCCACAGGTCCTCAAACAAGGCAAGACAGGTAAATAAAGGTGGGAAATAAAGTAAATGAAACGTTTTCCTTTATTGGAGGAAATATAGAACTATAAAAAAGGATGCTAGAATTGCATAAAACATTGGTTAGATCACACCAGGGCAGTATGCACATTCTGCTCAGGCAAGACATAACTGTTCTGGAGACAGTACAAAGAAGATTTACAAAGAATGTGGCAGAGCTTTGAAGACCGCAGCTGAGAAAGGAACATATTGGCTAGAGTGGTTTTCCCAGAACAAAAGATACATGACACCAGGAGTTTATAGTCCAACAGGTTTATTTGAAATCAAGCTTTGGGAGTGTAGTCCCTACGTTGGGTGAAGTGACAGAGCAGCACGCAGGCATAGAATTTATCAGCAGAGACGTCAAGGGCAGAGAAATCAAAAGACCATACAAATGGTGTGAGTGGAGCATTGAATAATAAGTCTCTGCAAGTGATCAAAAGTGTCAGATGGTGCGAGTGAAGTGTCAACAGCTGAATAACAAGTAAAGGGATAACCTATGATCCGATTAAATAAGGCAGAGGCGCAATTACAAAAAATTAAAAATAAGGTGGTGCTGGAGACATAACATGCTTGCTATAAGAATCGCATGCCAAAGGTCGAACCAAAGTAATAAGTAATGCAAAATTGTACAAACTAATTAAGATAGATAGATTGTAACAATTTATCAAGGTGATGGTGTCAAAACAGTACAGTAACAATGATCTTAGATACAGAAGTGTGGTGGGGTCACATGTAGCGCGACATGAACCCAAGATCATGGTTGAGGCTGTCTTCATGGGTACAGAACTTGGCTATCAGTTTCTGCTTAGCGATTCTGCATTGTTGCGCATATCAAAGGCCGCCTACGTTCCAAGGAAAGTCGTCCTTACCTAGCCAACCTCTCCCTCTAATTCAGGTCTACTAGTCCTGGTAACATCCTCGTAAATCATCTTTGCACTCTTTCCAATTTAACTATGCCTTTTCTATAAGGGGTGACACAATATTCCAAGTGCAGCCTCACCAACGACTCCGATACGTGAATATTGGAGGCCGAATGTCCTCGACTGCTGAAGTGTTGGCCGACTGACAGGGAACATACCTGTCTGGCGGCTGTTGCGCAGTGTCCATTCTTCGGTTGTCGTAGCTTCTGCATGGTCTCACCAATATACCATGTTTCAGGGCATCCTTGCCTGCAGCATATGAGATTGATAACATTGACGGAGTCACATGAGTACCTGCTGTGTAAGTGGTCAGTGATATTCCCACATGTGATGGTAGTATCCATCTCGATGATCTGACATATCTTGCAGAGGTTGCCATGGCAGAGTTGTGTGGTGTTTGGTCAATGTCCTGAAGGCTGGGTAGCTTGCTGCAAACGACGGTCTGTTTAGGTTTGGTGGTTGCAGTACTCAATACCAACAACTGCCAATTTCCAGATGCCATCCTACAATTCATCTGCTTCATCCTCAACCACAACATCTTCACCTTCCACAACCAGTTCTTTATCCAGACACATGGAACAGCCATGGGGACCAGATTTACACCTCAACATGCCAACATTTTCGTGCACAAGTTCAAGCAAGATTTCTTTGCTGCACAGGACTTCCAACCAGTATTATACACCAGATACACTGATGACATTTTCTTCCTTTTGACTCATGCATTTGAAAACACTTCACAAAACATTTTTCAGAAAAAATCTTCTCCATTATCACAGCACTAATCAAAGAAGGATTGCAGCATTAATCAAAGGAGGACCTCCTCTCCCCCTTCAGTAAGAGAAGAAGGTGGCTCTATAAAGAATGGCCACTGAGCCCATTCTGTCTGCACTGGTTCTGACAGCCATAGAGCAATACAGCATGGAGGCAGACCCTTTGGCCCAAAGTGGTCAATGCTGACCATGGTACCCCACTAGTTCCAATTGCCCGCATTTAGTCCACATTCCTCTAAACCCTTCCAATCCATGTACCTATCCAAATGTTTTTTTAAATGTTGCTATTGTACCTGGTTCAACCACTTTCTCTGGCAATCTGTTTCATACATGCACCACTCTCTGCGTGAAGAAGTTGCCCCTCAGGTCCTTCTTAAATCTTTCCCCGCTCACCATAAACCTATGCCCTCTAGTTTTAAATTCCCCATCCCTGGGAAAAAGCCTGTACACATTCATCCTATCTATGCCCCTCATAATTTTATACACCTCAAAGTCGCCCCTCATTCTCCTACGTTCCAAGAAATAAAGTCTATCCTGGCCAACCTCTCCCTATAACTCAGGCCTACTAGTCCTGGCAACATCCTCGTAAATTTTCTTTGCACTCTTTCCAATTTAACTATTCCTTTTCTGTAACAGGGTGACCAGACCTCTACACAATATCCAAGTGCAGCCTCACCAACGACTTACACAACTGTAACACAACACCCCAACTCCTATACTCAATGCCTCGATCAATGAAGGCCAGCATGCTAAATGTCTTCTTCACCACCCTGTCTACTTTAGACGCTGCTTACAATGAAATATGTACTTGTACTCCTGGGTCCCTCTGTTCCACAACTCTCCCGAGGGCCTTACCATTTAGTGTACAACACCTCACTCTTATCTGTAGTGAATTGCATTTGCTAATCCTCAGCCCACTTCCCCATCTGAGCAAGATCCCTCTATAATTTTTGATAACCTTCCTCACGATCAACGATACCTCCTAATTTTGTATTATCCGAAAATTTACTAATTATGCCTTGTACATTCACATCAAGATCATTTACGTAAATAATAAATAACAAAGGTCCCAGCACCAACCCCTGCGGCACACCACTAGTCACAGACCTCCAGTCTGAGGGACAACCTTCAACCATCACCCTCCACTTTCTCCCATCGAGCCAACTTGGAGTCCAGTTGGCTAGTTCTCCCTGGATCCCATGCGACCCAACCTTCAAGACAAGCCTGGCGTGCGGGACCTTGTCAAACCGCAGCAAAGCTTTTTACTTTGTCACAGCACAAATTCACACACTCACACACACACACACACACACACACTTGAATAGATGCCACTCAAGAGGCAGCAATTTAGCAATGTCTGCACTAGCTGTCCTATGGAGAAATTTACCTAGTGCCTCTCTTCTGCTTCCTCCTCCTAACCGTGCACAATCTTCCTTTATAGATAACAATCCAAATTACACTTAAATACCTTGATTGAAATGTAGAAGGTAATTTCATTACAGATAACACCTGCTGAATGAAAATGACATTTTTTTTCCCCTCAAATCGCCACTGCTTCGTTTGCCAATTACCTTCTATTTGTGCCTTCTTCTTAATCCTTTCATGAATGAGAGCAGTTTTCCCTATCTATTCTAGTATACACCTCAAAATTTGAATACCAGTGTTAAATTTCTTCTCTAATCCCTCTTCCCAAGAAATACAGTTCTAACAGCCCCAATCTACATTACTAAAATTCTCATCTCGGGCATCATTTTCATGAACCTTTCATGCTCTCTCTCCAATACCTTCATATCTTTCCTAAACTGTCACCCAGAACTGCATACAGTACTCGGGTTGAGGGCAAATCAGTGTTAATAACTATAAGATCATAAGAAATAAGAGGAATAGGTCTTTTGGCCCCTTAACAGGACCATGACTAGACATTTCTCACGTCCACTTCTGG